TTTTTTTTTTTTTTTTTTTTGCGCAACCGGGGATTGAACTCAGGCCCTTGTTCTTGCCAGGCAAGTGCTTATTCTACTGAGCTATCTCCCTGGTCCCAAGGCTTCTTTTATCTTTCCTATCTCTTTACTGTTCCTCCAAGAAACCTAACACTAAATCAACATGCATAGCGTTAAGACTCGGATCTGTGATGTCCCAAAAGCTCTTGGGTGCCCAGATTGGGCTCTTGGAAGTGAGTGTGTGGTTAGTGCTCTACCCATGAACCCATTGCGGACAACGCTGAGAGGCTGGGCCTAGGAAAGGGGACAGGTTGTTGGCTGCATCTAGATGTCCCCCACAGCCCATGCAGTCAGGCTTCGAGAGTTTATGACTGACTCAGGGTCCCGTGCTGGGATTGTGGGTGTGAGTGCTACACCCGCCCTGGGGTGGGCAGCCTGCATACACCATGAGGAGGGAGAGAGGCTTGCTTTCCGCTGCTTCTCCTTTTCCACTCTTGTTGCTTTTTCTGTCTTCCACCTCCATGGGCTGCTCCCCTCTGCCACTTGCCTGTCTGCTTTGGAGCCAGCCAAGTATGGACGAAACCTCCACACACTGTGAACAAAACAAACCTTCCTGGCCTTCATTTGCGGCATTGGATATTCTGTCCCTGCAATGAGAGAAAAGTAACCAAGACAGGCTGTGACCTTAGGAACGATACCTGGTCCCCAGCCACTCATCTGTGACTGGCCCCCTTTCCTGGCTGCAGCGAGGTGAGCAGCTTTCCCCACTGCCCACTTCCGTCCCATGTTCAGCCTTATCTTGGTCCTACACAATGGAACTGGTGGCCACCTTCCACTACCCCATTTTTGGATATGCAGTGACACAAGGTGTTTTTTGTTTTTGTTTTTGTTTTTTTTTGGCTGACTCAGGCTGCCTTCAGGGCTAGTCTCATATGGCATGTGGAGCTGCAGATGGAACCGTGCCTGACTGGGTTTGCCCAGGCAGGTGCTTAAACAACTGAGCTAACTGTCAAGCCCCCCCCCACCCCCTTTTTTTTTCTTTTCAAGACGAGTTTTCACTGTGAAGTTCAAATTGGCCTTGAACTCACTTTGTGGCCTAACTCACAACAATCCTCCTGCCTCAGCCTCCCAGAGTGCTGGGATTACAGGTGTGCCCCATCACACCTGGTTAAAGCAAGTCTTAAAGGATACACTTCAAAATATTGAGGATGATATTCCACTGTCTTTGTATGTTGTCTGAATTTTAAGAAAATAATATGCTCTATTTTTACAGCTGGAAAAGAACATTTTTAAAAGCTATTCATAAGACTAAATAGCATCATTAAAATCTTTATATAGTTCTTTAAAAAACAGGAGACAAACCAGGTGTGGCAGTGCACACTTACAATCCCAGCACTCAGGAGGCTGAAGCAGGAGGATCACTTGGAGTTCAAGGCCAGCCTGGGTTGCATAGTGAGTATAAGGCCAGTCTAAACTACATAGTGAGGTACTCCTTTAAAAAAAAAAAAGGGCCGGGGAGATGGCTCAGTACAGTAAGAGCTTCCCTGGCAAGTGCAAGGGCCTGAGTTCAATCCCTGGTTCCAGAAAGAAAAATAAATTAAAAAAAAAAGAAGTTTGATGACAGCTTGGCCAATTTAGTGAGACCCTGTCTCAAAATCTAAAAAGTACAAAAGGAGTTGGGTAGGGCCGGAGAGATGGCTCAGTGGAATAAAAGCTTCCCTGGCAAGCGCAAGGGCCTGAGTTCAATCCCCGGTTCTGCCAAAAAAAAAAAAAAAAAAAAAAGGAGCTGGGTGTGGCGGTACATGCCTGTAATCCTAGCATTGGGAGCCTGAGGTAAGAGGAGTGCCAGGATTTTGAGGCAAGCCTAGGTCACACAGCCAGAGCCTGTGATGTCCCAACCAACCAAAAAATAAATGAATTAAAAAAGGTTGAATGTGTTGTTCAGTGTTCCCTGGGCTTAACCCTCTAGAACTACAAACAAAACAAAACAAACCCAGCACACTGGGGATATGTACAGCTCAAAGTGGACAAGACTGGAAGAAAACTAAGAAAAAAGGAAAGAGCTGAATATCTGTAGAAATCTCCGTGTGTGTGGTGTGGTGTGAGCACAAGTACCACATACCTACGCTTCAGAAGAGGGAGCGAGGCCCAGGCCCAGCCGTCCCTGCGGGTTCCCCACCTTACCCGCACCCCCCGCCAATCCCTGGGTCTGGGAGCCCCGGGATTTGGCTCTCTTCCCCACACTATAATGGTTTCATTATCAGCCATGAAGCGCAGCCTGAAGAGACAATTGAACCTCACAGCAGTCAGGAATAATGGCTCAAACACAGCAAAACAAAACCCCATTGCCTGAGGGACGCATTCTTCACAGTTCAATTGGCCGGCATAAAATGACTCTGTGGGGCAAGTCAGCTTATTCGCCACAGTTATTCTCCTCAATGCTTATTTTCCACCGCCCCCACCCCGCGCCCCCCAACGTTCCGCGGGCACCTGGCAGGCACCGGGCCGTGGAGTGAGGGCGCTGTGACCACCTCTGCTGCTGCTGCAGCCGCCTGACGGGCTCCTGTGGCAGACACTGACTTCCTAATCAGCCCCACCCTTAGGGCCTCAGGGGAGCACTTGG